GGGGTTTAGCTTTTACTGTGATTCTAATGTACATAATATCTTCGACAAGTTTCCACCATTAGTCCCCTATCTCTCTATTATATCTTTTAAAAATTTAACAACATCTATCAATTCCTCTTCACTGGCACTATGCGCGACTCCAGGGTAAGTATTGAATTTCAAATTCTTGTATCCCAATTTCTGATATAATTCACTAGTTCTTTTTCCAAAATCATAAGCAACAATAGGATCAGCGGTTCCATGTCCTTGGAAAATCGGGGTATCGAAATTGACATCTTTAATCAACCGTTTCTCCAATTCTTCACCAACCGCACAAAATCCAGATAATGCCACAACACCACCAATCTTGTAACTCAACAATGACACGGCAGCTAACGATATTGCTGCACCTTGACTAAATCCACCAATAATGATCTTGTGAGGCGGGATATGGTACTTGTCAATTTGTTCCTGAATTAAACTTTGCAACACGTGACAACTTTTGAAAAATCCTTCGACATCTTGTTTGGCATTTGGGTTGCCAAACTCGTAAATATCAAACCAACCGGGCATAATCATGCCTCCATTGACAGTAATGGGTATTTGAGGTGCGTTGGGGAACACATAATTGATGGCTTGCGAGTCGGGGATTAAATTAGTTTGATTGACGAGTTGTGGCAACCATGACCAACCTTCGCCGGTGTCACCCAATCCATGCAAGAATATGATTGCAGCTTTTGCGGGAGTTGTGGCAGCGTTGTGCCTTATTGCTGATATGGCACTCATCTGTTCTAGCGGCAAGGATGAAGATAGTCGGACACTCAATCAAAGCAAAACGAAAATTAGAGCAACCACTCTACAAAAAAGTGGAATTATTTTTGGTAATATGATGGTGAGCGCTACCGGCTCGAATCAGACAAATCGTTTTTGGTGACATTCGGTACTTTACTCTAGCACGTGAATTACGCAAAGTATTGTTTACGAGGGGAGGGGGGGAGTATATGAGTAGTAGTACTATGGTGGGTCTGTAAATTTCGTTCAAGAGGAGTGCTTAGCCCCTGTATTAAACTTTGACCTGTTCACGGCATGATCAGTCTGTACGTGTTAAGCTCTGGTTTCTTATGTAAGAGTTTCCACTTTCCATGAAAACCAATGATTACACGACAATACTTTTGAAGTCAACAAGTTTATATTTGTAACAAGTAATGTGAAACAACTTGAGGGGGCCAGAATACACTATATACTTAGGGTTTATGAGAACAATACCAGAATGGTAAAGATCAAGGTATTGCAGCATCTTGTAACCTGTATCTATTCCATGTTGGTCAGGGTCGTAGTTACGAAGTAGTCCAAAATAACGAATTTCCGCAAAGTGCCTGATTAGTATGCATTCAATCATGGACATATTGCGACTATACAATTCAAAATTATGAATTTCCTGTGTCTTGTGCAATTTTGCCAAATATCCCACAAGAGTAGTCGAAGATATGGTGGTATACTTGATGCTTTTGAGGTTGTTGAGGTTTTTTTAGGAGCCTGAAAAGGATTGCTTCGGATCTGTTGGTTTTTTCCTATCAACTCGTATTGCCCATTGTGGATAGACATATATGTTTGCTGTACAATTTGGGTTTGGCAATGTCGTGCAATTTGGAATGTAATGGAGCTAGTGCGAGCGTCTGGTGCTAGCTGAGATGATGGAAAACTTCTTCCAAAACTTCAATCAGGTAAACTTGACAACGAAATCATTGGGACAACATTGACAGAAACTATTCGTCATGCATATATCCCTGTGTATCTCTCCTATAGCTTCTTCACTCTTTTTTTTTTTCTTTCCTCAACGTGGCTTTCCGCAGCTTAACTGTTGATTGCAAAATAGCATCTCATTATCAAAGTAAAAGTGAGACATGTATATCTGCTCTTGTATGCGATAAGTGTAGCATACTATCTTTTCATGTGCAGCCATTAAGTTGAACCATCTTGTAAGATTTTTTCTTGTGTTAATGGGTCATCACTCATCGAAATAAATTAAAGTTTTGAGCGCTACCCGTTCGATAAATTAGAGTTTCAGGGTAGCATGTGATTGCTATGATGATAGTTTTACAATAGATTTATTGAATATGGGTGTATACGTTTGTGTTATGCACGATTGTCGTAGTTACGAACCTTAGTTACAAACTTTCCATGACTGCTTACTTTGTTACTTTAGTTACATTTAAATACTATTAGTTGGAAAGTATTCATAAGTTTACGTAATGTTATTATTCTCTTTTGCATTTACGGAGTTTACGAGATTTGCGAATGCGTGTTTTGTGTTTTATGTTCCACTTTTCTCTTGAGTGACATCTACTCTATATCTAATGTATCTATGTATATATGTATGTACTTCTTGGTGTATATCACACTGGTAATTTACTTAATACTATAGCTACTACTGCTGCTGCCACTACTGCTGCTGCCACTACTACTACTACTACTACCACCTACTTACTTACTTACTTAGTCGTGAAGAAAAGAAAATAAAAAAAAAGAAAAATGATCTGCAGAAATAGCCTTTTTTTTTTTTCAAGATTTCCCATTTCCCCCCCCCCCCCTCCCTTCTCTTAAGATAAACACAAAACATTAGTTGCTTTAAATCCGCCTGATTCTTAGTTCAACACAGTATTTGTACAATGTAAATATTGACTTCCTCTCAGCCGCACACCCTCTCATAAGTTGCCGTGACTCTCTCTCTCTCCTCATTTTAACTCAATATGCAGATACCAATTTTCTTATGCTCTATACTCTACTCTACTCTACTCTATTCCGTTCTGTCTGGTTTAAAACTAACTGTAACAAACATTGATCTATTTTCCTGGTGACTAAACACAACGCTGATCAATTAGTCACCACAGTTCTCATACAAGCACACACACACACACACCCCCCCTTCTCCTCTTTCCACTTGGGTTTAATTTATAAACATCCATATTTCGTAGATTCCCAATAAATTTGTATAAACCTTTTGTAGACTTTCACCTTTGTTCTTAGTACCATTCTATCCTTATATCAGCACTACTACACATCCTGAGTACCGCTAACTTTACCCATTTTCAACATGAACATTACCAAAAGAGTAACAAGCATCATATTACGTGTCGTTGAATGTGCATTTGCAGTTATCGTTTTGGGTCTCTCAGCTGGAGTATTGGCGGGCTTTAACGCAAACATTTCACGTGTCTCCTTCAATCTCGTGGTTGCAATCTTCAACATCATCTGGATAGCTTACGTGGCATTCATTGCGCCAATAGTATTGGCAAACCAAACGCCAACAGCAGTGGTTTTCGCAGTCCAAGTCATCTTTTGGGTATTTTATCTTGCTGGTTGGGCCGCAATTGCTGATGCGTTTCCAAGTGATTGTAACTGGTGGTTCTTTTCGCGTGATTCTGAAAGTACTTGTCGTGCGTATCAAGCTATCTTGCCCTTTTCTTTATTAAATTGGTTTTGGTTTAGTCTCGAATTGGCATTGTTTATTGGGTACAGTTTTGTTCCTGAAATCAAAACTTTGGGAAGTAATCACTTGTTAACAAACACAACTTATTATTGGGGTACTGTGTTCAATGCCGAGGCTACCACTTCAAAAGGTGTTGGTGGGTTAAACTTTACTGATACTGCTGGTGTCGGCAAAGAAGGTGTTGTTGCCGATGGTGGTGATGATGGTATCATTGCTCCTCATCTTGACGATGAAGCGGCTGTTGGAAATGGAGTCAGTGATGAGAATGCATACAATACCCACGGCGAAGAAGAGTCAAAGGTGGTCACTGAAGGCTCAGATACATCCGATCATCATCAACAAGCTGGGTTGGAATATGGTTCAAGAACAAACGGTACGATCCCACCACCTACTCATCAAATCTAAAGAGAAAAGAACATGTCAAGCAAGGGGTCATGAGCAGGCGTAGCTTTAATATACTTTTATGTAAACCTTACTCCCACCTGTAATTTTCTCCTCTTCGTTACATTGAATCATAGGATTTCGGAGTGACGACAGTCCAACAAAAGTGTATTACAGACACAAACTATTTACAAGATATGTACAGCAGCCGACAGTGCTTTTTTTTTTTTTTGGACAAGCCACAAACAGTGACTTCATATCTTTGAATGTCTGAATATCTTCATCGACTTCCCCTCCGCAAAGTAGGAAGATTCTCTCGTCTATAGCTTCCGGTGATGTATTTAACTTCTCGCAATGGTCTTTTTAACTGTTATCATCGATTTCCCCCCAAGCTATATTAACTCATTTCATGTAAAGTCAACACTCAAAGTCCACGTGTCCACTGAAGGTTGCACATACACTTGAATCAACTCAACTGTCGCGCATAAAAAAGCACCATACTGACCATTATCCTCAATCATCCAAGATATCCCCACCAAATCTCTTCCTTGGCGTAAACGAAATAGGATACCTAATATCCAACACGACATTCTGAACCAATGAAAACACCTGTGACGAAATCCAATACAACACCAACGCAGCAGGTGCATGTATCGAAATAGCCATCATGAACACAATCGACATTCGCGCAAAATTGCCAACTGCATCAGTCAAATTCGGCCGATACTTTAACCTCTGCGTCAATCTCGAAAGCTCCAACGTCCTAAATGTCCACTCAACATTGCATAGTGAAATAACACCCAAAATTAAAGGAAAAACATGCATGGGATCGGCAACTGCAAGATCCTGAAACCATAAACAACCCTCAACGTATAAACTTGGGTCCAAGGCCTTGTTGTGTAAGTTGTCCCATGAGGACCATCCGCTAAGATCCCTCATGGTCAACGACATGATAATCCAAAGAGGCACTTGGAAAGTAGGTAGGATGAAATTCTTCCATATTTGTACATTGTGCTTCTTAAAGAGTTGTTTCTGGCGCTTTCGCGTCTCCTTTGAACTAAGAAGTAAAATCTGCTCATATGTCATATTGGCCAACGGAGCTTGTGCAGCCTTGACTGACTCATCAGTCGCGGTGGTGGTGGAGGAAGAAGCTTGTTGTAACTGTTTCGCCCTTTGAACCCTTTTTGCTAAATTCATCTTCAAAATAGGATTTAGTGCGCTAACAATCGGTTTCAATGCACTTTGCTTTTGGATTCTTTTCCGCTGTATTATGGCTAATGGCAACGTCCAAACTGACCTTAGGGCGAATGTGGTGATGGGGATTAGGGCCCACCATGGTAGTCCGCTGGTTTCATGTAGACTTTCAAATGCATGTGTGAATGTATTGACGATAGCGTTGTGGTCAAATGAAAACTGCCGTGTTGACACCTTAAAGGGGCTTGATAATAATTGATTATGTAGTCTTCCTATTCGACAACTGCTTCGTATCATTGTTATTAAAGTAAAGGTGACGAATGTTTCTGGTAAAAAAAAAATAAAAAAAAATAAAAAAGAAAATAAGAAAAAAATAAAGACCAAGAAGGAAAAAAGAGTGCCAACAGAAACCCAGCAACGCCATTATACTAAATAACCACTGCCACTGCCACCACTGCCACCACCACCAAGACCAAAACCAAAACCAAGACCATGTCAACGAAATCAGAAAGAGCATGCATGCTATGCGGGATAATACAGCCCGTAAAATCCTTCAAAACTCTAGGCTGTCCCAACTGTGAAGGACTACTCCAATACAAGAACAAGGACCAGGACTTCAACCCCATCACTGAATGCACGTCGCCATCCTTTGAAGGGCTAGTCGCATTGAGTGAAGATAGCAAGGAGTCATGGGTGGCGAGATGGCTCAGGATAGATAGTTTTGTTCCTGGTCTTTACGCCGTCAAGATTAATGGGAAACTACCTCCAATTGTGATTGAGCAGCTAGAGTCGCAAAATGTCATGTATAGACCAAGAGATGGCAGTGCTGAAGATTGAGGACAAGAGAAAACAGAGGGCTTGTGGAGTGCCGTTTTATACTTTATGTAACTTTCTAATTGAATTTATATCAAGGTTTCTAAATATTTGTATCTCTCTCTCTCTCTGTGTGTGTGTGTGTGTGCATGCTCTCAAGGTGCAGGTTGCAATGAGGTAACCACCTTTTCAATGTTTTCCAAAGTCGAGGTTTTATCCCACTCGTTTCGATCGGTCCATACGACATCCATCAACCGGGCCATCACCATCTCCAATTTATCAACAGTATACTGGTCCGTGAGCTTAACCACTTGTTTCTTGAGTTTGTCAAACAAGTCCTTGTTGAGTATCAACTCCTTTGAGTGGTCAATCTCAATCAAATCTTCTGCTTCTGACTCTGATTCCTCTTCAACTACCTCTTTCCCCTTTTTTTCCTCTTTGGATTCAGGGTTGACCGGTTCAACTTCCAACTTCGAATCTCTTTGGTCTCCTCCTTGTTGTTGACCAGTGCTTGAGTTCTCAGCTCTGGTTGGTGTCTCTTTGGTCTCGACATGTTTGACATCCACTTCCATAGGAACAGTCACATTCTCAGTTTCCTCATGAGGAACATCCCCATTGCGAAGAGTTTTCAAGTCAGAATCCTGGACCGTCTCCTCTGCCACACCCCCATCATTAACCAATGCAGTGTCATTCACAACTTGATTTGTGGTTCCATTTTCAAACTTTGACTTGATAGCTTCATACTCCTTCAACACCTTCTCTTGCTTTGCCTTATCCCTCTCTCTCATTTCCTTACAAGCCTTCAAAAATTCCGGCGTTGAGATATCATCTATTCCAAACTGTGCATTCGTAATCATTTCATTCGCCTTCAAAATCCGTTCCCGGTCACCAGAAGTAATGCAATCCTTCAAAATCAATTTGAGGTCCTTGAGAAACTGTTTTGGTTCGCTATAAAACCCATTCCACAATCGCTCCTCTATAGTATCAAGATCCATGTTGTAGTAATTCTTTCCTGTTGCAACCTCCGTGATCATATTCTCGTGTCCTGGATCACCAGATCTAGTGTACAACACTTGATAATTGTTGAGTGGGTTTTCCAAAACTGATGGGTCAAATAAGTGATAAAGCAAGTTTTCATCAACAATTGGTTTTTTGAATCTCTTGTACCTCACCTTAAACAAATCCATCAAACTTGCTAGTTTAATCTTTAAGGTGTTCTTCAATTTAGTATCATTATACTCTTGCTCCTTTTGTTTCCTCTTGATGAATTCTTGATCGGACAAATTGGACACAGTTTCGACAATTTTCAATTGCTTCAATTTCCTCTTGGGTCTATTTTGTAAATCATTAACAAACTCATACGGCTTCATCAAAATAGTCTTCCAAACCGTCAGGAAAAACTCTTTTCTTGCCAGCTTTGTTGGGTTTTGCAATACGACATTGTTTGATGAATTCTCCAACCCAAATAGATACTTGATTCTGTCATCCAAATGATACAATGGTGTTTCGGAAAAACCTAGCAACAATATCTTCTCATTGCTGCGCAATCCTCTCAAAAGACTCGACAATGTTGCCTTTGAGGAGTCTGGGAGAATCAGATACCATACATCAATGTTGGGAATCAATATTATAGCAGGCTGGTGTCTGCGAGCTTCAATAAATGCTTGTATGATGGCCAGTTCTGTTGTCCTCGTGGAATCGCCAAACATTGTTCCAAGATCTAGAGACTGGACTTGAAACCCTTCCAAGTAATTGAGTACAGCTGCACTCAAATACTGTTGCCCATTCCCTTCTTCACCACTGACTAACAAGTGTGGTCTGCAGATTCTCGCGTTTTCCAAATTCTTCAACAACTGTTGCTTGCCAAACCCTCCATCCTTGTCATGCACAGTGGGATCGAGATACTTGGCCTCTTCCAAAGTGGTTAGTTTCTTGCGCCCAGCAACACTCACCGACACGGGTATTAAATCCTTTAATTTTGATTTTATTTGCTCAAAGCTGTCCGTTAGCAATGGTCTCAAGTTGTCAGGTAATGGAGAAGACCCGGACGAGGTTGAACGCGCACTTGACGGAACAATCTTATCAAGGGCCATCATGAAATCCTTAGCTATGACTTTAACTTTTTCAGGCTTGACTGCCAATTTGTGATTAGTCTCATATATTTGAGGGTACTTCCTTTGAATACTGTTCAATGCAGCTTCTGTACACAATGCACGTAAGTCGGCACCTCCGTACCCTTTGGTGAGCTCGGCAAGATTATCCAAAAAGGAATCATCCAATTTCGGGCTCCATTTGCGTGTGTGGATAGTCAAAATCTCCTTTCTTGCATTGATATCAGGTAAAGGGAAATAAAATTCACGATCGAATCTCCCTGGTCTTCGTAGTGCTGGGTCAATTGCATCTGGTCTATTGGTTGCGCCAATAACAATCACCTGTCCTCTGTTGTCCATACCATCCATCAACGCTAACAAAGTCGACACGATACTAGCGTGGATTTGTTCCTGTTTGGACGATCTCACAGGAGCTAAACCATCAATTTCATCAAAAAAGATGATGGACGGTTGTTGGTTCTTGGCCTCTTCAAACAACAACCTCAATTGTCTCTCAGCTTCTCCGACCCACTTACTCAAACAGTCAGCACCTTTTCTCATAAAAAACGTAATCTTGCGCTCCGGTGTAGAGCAGTTTGCTGCCAACGCTCTTGCCATCAAAGTCTTACCTGTTCCTGGTGGCCCGTGAAATAACACACCTCTGGGGGGAGTAATTCCAAAATTTTGATACAACTCAGGATAAAGTAGAGGCAAAGCCACCATTTCTTTTAGCTGATTGATATAGTTATCCAACCCACCAACTACCGAAAAATCGATATTCATATCCACTCCAAGAGGATCAGTATCGCTCAAACTATTCTTTACTTTCTTTTTATCATCCGAGCCGCCAGTTAGTAACTTACCTTCCGATCTGGAAGGTTTCTTTTCTTTACGACTGATGGTCGCTTCACCGTTTATTGGAGCAATGTCGTCCTCAGAGCTATCAGAGTCGCTGACATTTTGGCCAATTGCAGTGAGATTATTCGGATCAGTCATACCGGGCATTGGTATTCCACCAGGTGGTATGTTTGTACCAAATAAAGATATGACATCGCTTCCACCAAATGGACCAGCAGTAGGGTACAAGATTTTCCGAAACTCACTCTTATTCGTTGGTCTTCCTCGTCTATTCCTCACATTCACTGGTGTTGACGGCCTTTCAAGCATCAAATCATTCGTTATCGGAGGAGGAATGGTGTAGTCGACTTTGGCTCTTTGTCTCAACTTATGCTGCGATGGTTCCGAGTCCCGCATTGGAGACGAGTCATAAAGTTCAGCAATCTCCCTCTGTATATCATCTACATCATCTTGCCCATCGTCACGAGTATCATCGCCGGTTAGTGCAAACTCTCCCTCTTCTTGCAACACTTTACCAGATCTTGTGGCCCTTCGCGGTTCAGCTGATACTGATCTGCTCTGTTTCCTAGGACGGCCTCTTTTCTTTTTTGGTTTAGTCCCGTATTCCTCCTCTTCGTCATCCCACTCATTCTCATCTTCAACTATAAAGTTTTCCCTTTTTTTCCTCTCAATGAAGTCATCATCGGAAAGCGTAAAATCATCTTCTTCGTCGTCATCATCTCCATCATCCCTAAATTCTTCATCATCACTATCACCGCGCGCCTTACGCGATCTTCCTCTTGACCCTCCCTTTTTGCTGAGCTTTCTTTTCTTTCTGCGACCTGCTCTAACCTCAATGTCCGATTCCTCGACATAATCCTCGCTATCGTCATCTTTTTCCGGAGAAGTGGGAACTCCGAAGGGATCGTCGCTATCCGGTTCATCCTCCTCTACAGATACGTTCTCAGTCCTTTCTTGTTCTTGGAAATCCGCGACATCTTTGTCTCCGTCTTCATTATACGAAATGCTCTTGTTGTTTCTTCTTGGAGTTGTTGCTGTTTCTTCAAATTCGGGCTCAGACTCTTCATCCGTTGAGTCTATTCGTCTGGAGCGTCTAGCCATTGTTTCTTCGATCTGTTAAGAAATAGAAAAAAAAAAAGGAAAAAAAAAACAAAAAGTTCTTTATTGTTAACAATGATTATTCAATTCGTCTGGGACAGGGTTAGATCTGTGTATTGAGCTCTCTCTTTTTCCCTCAAGTCAATGATGTGTAGTCAGTGATTGTGTTGGCAAAATTAAGTACGACCAGCTAAGTCCCAAGTAACAACAGTTTTTGTTTTTTCTTCGTACCAAAATGTTTTTGAACCTTGCGAGATATTTTTGGTGGTAGAATTGGTGGAGACACGTATTTTAGTCATAGTTAAGAGGCAAACATCAACCGACTCCCGAAGGGAAAAAAAAAAAAAAGTATTCAACCTGTAGGTTGGGTAACCATTTGCTCTTCAGATATCTCTCAAAGCAGAGCTTCCGAACGAGTAACCAGGACGCTTGTAAATGAGAGTTCTGTGTTGTGCTTGCTCTGCAGAAAATTTACTACCCTGAGGCCAGCGACGGTAGTAAAACTGTAAAACCACTCCGTTGTTGGATTCTGCTGTGAATGAGACCTGGATTGAACTGATTTTTTTGCAACCATTTGAAAATTTTTTGATCTACGGTTGCATCCATAACTCGTTTGTGAGATTGTTTGGAGGGGAGTGTGTGAATCTGTTTTGCTCGGCCTTTTGCGCTCTTATTGTTAACTATGTTCAACAATTTCAAATTTAATTGTTTTTTGAACAAACTGCACGACTCAATTGGTCTAGCGTAGGTGGTTTCTCAACAAACGAAGAAGGTTCTGTTGACCTTGTAGATATTTCAGCACGATCTGCTAATTCTTCAATTCACCACGGGTGTATTCAGTATACGAGCTGAACGTATCATTTTTAAGTTGTAGTTTGTTTGGAAGAAACAATAATTGGGCAATCAGTGTCGTAAATATGAACATCATAAATTGCGACACATAGAATTGGCGACACTAACTTTTCTTGTACAAATTGTGAATACCACCACCACCTAAAAAATAGCCAATTTCCCATAATTCAGAACATTTTTCAAGCGCCACTGAGAGACCACCCTAGTTTAATGTAAGGAAGGGAAGCATACCATCCTGCAGAAAATTCTTTACAGATAAGCATATCTCATTGCTAGGGGTTCTTCTCAATTTTTAAGGAGTCCATAATTGCACTATTTGAAACACCATACTCAAGTGGCATTTTTCGAGGTTGGAATCAGTAGCTAGTACTTTTTGATAGAGAAACCTTTACAATATCACATGGTGAATCAAAGAAGACATCCATTGACAACTCGCGCAATCAAGAAGGGATTCATACTGCTGCAATTTTGACAATAAAATATGCAAAAAAACCCAAATATTTTGCAAGACTCCGAAGTTGCAAGCAGAATTTAAAGTCAACTGGAGAAAAAAAAAAGGTCAGTTTAGATCTTTTTAGTTGACAACGGCTATACATATTCTCACTAACTATAATGAGAAATGGACAAACCCAATTTAACAGATTTATATAAGCTTTGGGACAATGACAGAAAATTGCGTTTAGAGTATCGAAGGGAAGTTACTGATCTTGATATAAAGAGCTCTAACTATATTAGTAGGCGGAGAGAGAGAGAGAGACCTCGAGCTTTTGTAGGAGTGTACAGCCCATAAACAGAGCTTAAAAGCACGACCTTCCTAGACTTCAAATTACGTGTCGCAACACTTGTTTCTCTAACCATTGTTGCAACTTGCACACGACACAACAAGCACTGTGGGTTTTGGTCAACTTGTCACGTGCAGACACTATTGGTAACTCCCTCCTGCTACCCATATTATATTGAAGCTGCTGACAATTGCAGTTGGCTGAGGTGTTGCCATTGGTGGAGGTGGGTATAGCCTCCTCTCTGGCACAACTTCCCATACTGCCGTCTAAGATTTTATGCAACGAAATGATACATCATGCTGCATGTCAACACTAGTGTGATTGTGATGGGTCACTTGTAGAAGTTGTCGATATTGAGCTGATGAATACTAATTCTCCAATACAGTATACCGCGTACTTGCTGATGGAAACAAGAAAGTACCGATGCATGCCTTGATAATTGTAGACTTTACTCTCTCAACCACAGAGCCAACAGCTAGCACAAAATGCTCCGGCACCACGGCAGACTATCCACTATCAAGTACCGTAAACTACTGTGTGCAAAAGGTCCACTCTCTGTCCAACAAACCAAGTAACAACAAGCCACTTCGAGCCACAAGCAAATGACAAGCACCTCTGATCATACACGGCAGTTTCTTCTCAAGGGCACCTTACCATCACAGTTGATGTTACCACATTATAGTAGCACCATTGTCTACTTCTGCTGAGGAGGAGGAGGAGGGGCGGAGACTTATTTCCATGGTAGAATTCTGTAAGTTGTTGAAGAAAGCCGGCGCCAAAGGCAAGTACAAGCTGTTTCGTGATGGAAAGAGTGTATAGTGGCTGTCTCACTCAATCCCTCTTGTACGAGAAAGAATGTTTCTTCTTCATCATGTCACAGGTATTTCGTTATCGAGATCCTAGGAATAGGTTGTGGATGGTTGAGAATGTATGGACGAAACTTTCCTTTTGGCGCCTCTAATTTGCGGCGAAATTTTCAAATTTTGTCCTAAAATTGAGTGCTAAGGATTTATCAACTTTTTTCTGCGAGTGCTGAGCTCGGTCCTTTTTACCTTACCAAAAAGTAATGTCGTGTCATTCAAATTCATAGAGTTGACAGAAACATCGGCCTTAGATGTATCCACGAGTTAAAACACAGTCTCACATCCAACTATTCTGCATAATATTCATAATCCGACTAGTCAATGCTATATCGATACAAACATTTTTCCAAGCAGACGAGTTTTATCAGTGTTTAGAGCCAGCTCATAATTTCGTTTACGGGTACGGATACCTCACATGGGAATGGGATGCGAAATTGCGATCGTCAATACACCCTTTGATTTACTCATTGGGGTATTGGGTAGCCCAAGAAAATGAACTTTTAATCTGGATCGTGCCGAAATTAATCAATTGTGCGATTGCAACAATCACTGAATACCAACTATTTCGTTTTGTTCAAGTGTATTCTCAAGACAGCCGTTTGGCGCGTACCACATTAATGTTGTCTTTGTTAAACCCGTTTAATTGGTATGTTTTGACGAGGTCTTTCTCAAACAATTTGGAGACGTGTTTGACTATATGTACGTTGAGGTATTGGCCATGGAAAGGGAAAACGGGTGGTTATAATTGGTACCTCAGCTTAGGATTTGGCTTTCTTAGCTGTATCATACGACCCACTAATGTGTTGCTATGGGCACCTTTGGGTATTATGCTTTTAAAAAGGCAACTTTTCAATCTTAGGTGGATCGTGTATTCGGTATTGGAAGTGTTTGTGCTATTTTCAATATCTGTTGCTCTTGACCATTACTTTTACCAAGAATTCACTATACCAATTTACAATTTCCTCCATTTCAATGTGGTTAAGAACTTGTCTATGTTCTATGGTGTTGCGCCGTGGCATTTCTATATCTTTCAAGCAATTCCATTGATGATGATGCTTTATTTGCCTTTGATGTTGTATGGCTTGCGCAAAGACATCCTACAATTCAGCTGTTTAGTCTATTTGGTGGGGTTTTCCTTGATTCAACACAAAGAGTTTCGCTTTATTATGCCACTACAGCCAATCATGCTCTACTATGCAGCTCGTGGCTATCAAAAGCTAAGAAGAGCCAAGCGATTGGTGCCAATTGTAGTCTTATTGAACTTTGCCATTGCACTTTTCTTCAGCAACGTTAATGAGAAGGGGGCTATTGATATCATGAATTTCATGAATACCCACAAACAGTCCTCGTTTGGGTTTTTGACACCCTGTCATTCAACTCCATGGCAAAGCAACTTGCACAATCCTGATCTACAGGCGTGGTTTTTGACATGTGAGCCGCCACTCCACTTGAATAATCCGTCATTGGGAGAGCTCCATTCGTATAGAGATCAATCTGATGTATTTTATGATGATCCGCAATCATTCATCAAAGATAACCTCGGTTCAACCTTGGCGTATCCGGAATATCTTGTCGTGTTTTCGCCATTGAAAACAGTGATCGAGCAGGAGTTGAGCGATTATATCCTATACAAGCGATACTTTAATAGTTATTTCCACTGGGATAGTCGGCGAAGGGGCGACTTAATGATTTACAAGAGAGTCGGCGATCAAGGGCAAAAAGTGGCTTTGACATAAGCTGTCAAGGTAGATGCAATACCACCAGCGGACTAGACCGGGACGAGTGATTTAATTTTCCGCGTTTTTTTCGTTTTGACTCATTGAGATGGAATTACGGAAACAAGGTACCATTGGTGACGAGTAACGTAGTTTATGAAGTTGGATTGGCAAAGATAATGTTTTATGGAAACTGAAAAATTTCTTGTTAAAGTTTTACGAAGGAGGGACCACAGTACTAATGATTCGAACTCAGAATATGCATCAAAAGCTGTAAATACCCAATTGTATAGCAGTGCAAGTTTACCCTGTCAAATGAGTCATATTTCTTCTATGTTTTTAGTCAAACAAATCATGTTTCGTTGAGAAAGACAGAGAGTGTTGCATTGCCGGACAGTGACTTCTGACGTAACATCAAGGGCACGTGAGGGGTGTTCTTCTCGGTAGTGTGTATGGCTCTTAATGTAAGACCTGACATGCTACGTTGATGCAGTCTTGAGAATGACTCTATGCGCTACCAACCAAACATTATGCTAGTTTTCAAATGTCTGCGCCTCTCCACACATAAACTGTCACCAAAAACTACACCGTTAATTAACACACCTACAGCAAAGCAAACAACACCGGTAGCCACTATGGGAGCATCATCAAGCATACTAAATGAGTTTGTAGAGGATACAAACTTCAGCGTGGAAGAGATTGATAGATTGAGAAAGCGGTTCATGAAACTAGATAAAGATGGATCAGGAGAAATCGACACGAATGAGTTTTTGTCAATCCCGGGTATATCATCAAACCCATTGGCGTCACGATTGATGAATGTGTTTGATAAGGATGGTGATGGGAAAATAGATTTCCAAGAGTTCATAACTGGATTATCTGCCTTTAGTGGTAAATCATCCAATTTAGAAAAGTTGAAATTTGCATTCAACATATACGACATTGATCGCGATGGTTATATTGGTAATGGAGAGTTATTTATAGTGATGAAGATGATGGTGGGGAAGAATTTGCAAGATGAAGAGTTACAGCAAATTGTGGACAAGACCATTATGGAAGCTGATGCTGACGGCGATGGTAAATTGAACTTTGAGGAGTTTCGAAAAGCGGTTGATAATAATTCCATTGCCAACACAATGACCTTGAACATGTTTTAAGAGCATAGTGCGTGCTATGGCTATAAGGGTAAATACAGCGGCAGAGGAAGTTGAAACTGACATTGCCGAGTAGTTCTTTTTCGCAATAAGGGAAGAACAAAAACGGGGTGTACAATGTTGTATGTCACATAGCCTTTTTAAAAGTATGTGGACCTTTCTATCAGCAGAACAACTAATCCTGTCGCTTAATCGTATGACAGTCCACTGTGGACTCAGTCCTACATAGTATTCAATGTACGCATCCTTCTCATCAAAATTACGCATTAAGTATTTACTTTACCGGTATAGTTTCAACTACAACCTTGACCTGTCCAGCCTCTCACTTGGTCAACATGTCTACAACTTGCTTTACACTCAACCTCTTGATATCGGTATACGTTTGTCCTGTACCCACAAACAATATGGGCACTTTGGTAGCCATAACCATATTGATCATTGTTCCCACCAAATCGCCCACCGTATCAACCTTTGATATAATGAAAAAGTCCAAATTTCTCCTATTTCCAAATGCGTTGTTGAAGTTTATTGCCTGTTCAACAGAATCAGTACCGACCAACGCCTCTCCCACCATGATAATCTTGTTTGGATTAGCAGCATCTCCAAACTTCTTTAATGGTGCCATCAACTTAGCATTGGAATGAGTTCTTCCAGCGGTATCGATCAACACCACGTCAAAGTGTTCTTCTGTGGCATATTGTATGGCTGATTTGGCAGTTTGTACCACATGGTCACCACTACCATAACCCTTCTCAAACAAGGCAATCTTCGACTTGTTGGCATGTTCTGAATTCAATCTGTCAAGGTTATTTACGTGAACCTTCAATTGCTCCACTGCTCCCGACCTAAAAGTATCGCAGGCACATATTAGCACGTTGAGATTATTTTGGAGAAACCAATAAGCCAATTTAGCAAGATTGGTTGATTTTCCAACCCCATTCACACCCACAACCGATATAACATAAGGTCTTCCTGTGTCATTTCTTTTGATCTCATACAATAAATCCGTTGACACGTTTGGGGTAAGAATCTTGGTGAGTTCGTCAACCAAAGTTTGTTTATAAGTGGTCATATTCACTTTTTTGCCTGAAAGCCTTGACTTGAGTTTATCAATAATGGTTTTGGCTGTACTGGGAGCTATATTTTTGGACATCAACTGTTCATTAAATTTTTTGGAAACCTCGTCGACATCAATGGCACCACCGAAATAAGACCCAATTTTGCCAAAAAAACCAGACTGCTTACTTTGCGTTTCATCCTCATCATCTTCGTCGGATTCATTTAATATGTCATTCAACTCATTCACCAAGACCAAATCACTGTCTCTTGTAAAGGCAGCTTCACTGTTCACCTTCATCTGGTTTGGCTGTGCAGATACATCTTGACCTTGATTGGCCGAGTAGTCCAATACTTTCTGGTCGGCGTAATCAACCATTTCACCACTATTATCCCACTTTCTCATTTTCTTTGACGATGCTTGTTTTTGGGTAGGTGGTGGCGTTTGCTTGCTTACATTTTTCGGTCCGTTGATGGAGTTCTTGACTTCTTTAGTAGTTGCCAGTTGTTCTTCAACATTTTGCTTTGACTTCATCAAGTTATTGAATTGTAGATCGACCAAGCTATGGAACTTATTTTCTTCTAGGTTGTGTGATTCTTTAAATTTCTTAAAAGTTTTGTAAACCCCTACAAGTGCTTGCTTTATTTTATCGCTGTTTATTGTGGTAATAGCGTCAAAGTATAGTACCACATACACATTCTCCTTGTGGTAGCAGTAGAAACGTTTTTGATTTATGGTATCGGTGGTGAAATTTTGATCCAAATCAATTTGAGTTTCGTTAATCAAGGTGGAGATAAAGTCATTGAATGGAGTAATTTTGTTATTGTACTGATACTCGACCTTGCCCGATGGTCTGAATATAATTAATGACTGAGACATGGGAAAAAAAAAAGGTGTGGGTGGTAACCTTTTCACTGGCGAGTGTGTAGTGTATCTTGATTGTTTGAATGACAGGGTCTACACTATTCAATATATGAAAAATGAAAAACAACGTAGAAAAAAAAAAAAAAAAAAGAGGAATATGGAATAAATTCAGAGAGAAAGAGGAAAAAAGTGTTTTTGATCTTACAAACGGTTCAACTAGTTGCTAGCAATATAAAGTAACAACACACACCTTCAAGTATAATATTACACCCACGTAGACGACATTACATCCAGATAGAGTATTACCCCACACACACACACACACATTTTTTTTTCTACACACCCTGTTTGTCTCAAATATCAGCATATAAACTAAAAGATGGCATATTATCAACCGCAAGTGAATAGCCCTCAAAACATGCAATTTTATCAATCCAACTATTCCTATCAACAAGCACAACCATCAATACCTGTCAATAGCATGGGCTCAATGGATATGGGATTCAACAACGATGTGAGTGGCACAATGGGAGGAGGAGAATTGACTCCGGGGCTTCTTGCTGCGTTTGGTACTCTGGGATATCCCGGTGAGCCGCCATTACTCGAAGAGTTGGGCATAAATTTTCTGCATATAAAATCAAAGACGCTAGTGGTCTTGAACCCATTGATGAAGGATATACCTAGTGACATTATGGCTGACTCTGATTTGGCAGGACCCATCTTGTTTGTGCTATTGTTTGGTACATTGCTTTTGTTGGCGGGTAAGGTACAGTTTGGATACATTTATGGGGTTGGGTTATTTGGTACAGTGAGCTTGCATTATTTGTTCAAGTTCATGAGTAATGACACTCAAATTGATCTTAGTCGTTCAGCTTCAGTGATTGGGTACTGTTTGTTACCGTTGGTGTTGATTAGTGTTGTTGGTGTGGTGGCCAATTTGGACAACTTGGTAGGCTACGTACTCAGTGCAGTTGCTGTCTTATGGTGCACTTACTCAGCTAGTGGATTCTTTGTCTCAGTATTGAAGTTGCACAATGTTAGACCTTTGATTGCTTATCCGTTGTGTATGTTTTACACTGTGTTTGCACTCATGGCTATATTTGTAGAAAAGACGGAGATCAGTTGATATGGAAGTGAACAGGAATATAACAGAGTATACTTATGTGTAGAGTACTATTTATTTACTTGTACAATTGGTGTAGACCCAATTGTGTACAGTTTGTTGACACTCACTCCGGTTTTTGACGCTGAGTGGGAAAAATCGCGTGGTGCTTTTAGAGTGTATACTCTGAATCTCTATGCCAACTCAACCACGAACTGAGAACCAAACCACACAATGAGACTACGATGTTCCTTATCGTGGAAGCGATACAGTCTGTCCAAGCCATTCTATGTTACAACGCCCATATTCTATGTCAATGCTGCGCCGCATATTGGCCACTTATACTCGATGATGATTGCAGATACGAGAATCAGATGGGAGAAATTGGACCCTGCGAAGCGCACATATTTTCTAACCGGGACAGATGAGCACGGCTTGAAAATCCAAAACACAGCCGAGAAGCTTGGTGTCGAACCAAAAGAGTTGGTTGACAAGGTTTCCAACAATTTTAAATTGTTGGCATCGAAATTTAATATCAAATACGACAGATTCATTCGAACTACGGATACGGATCATGTTGAACTAGCACAAAACTTTTGGAACATGATGATGGAAAAGGGCTATATCTATAAAGGAACACACAGTGGGTGGTATTGCGTCAGTGATGAAACGTTTTATCCTGAATCGAGTATCGAAGAGATTGAAAAAAATGGCAAAAAAGTCAAAGTTTCCATAGAGTCAAGAAATGAAGTGGTGTATGAAACGGAAACCAACTACTTTTTCAAACTTTCGTCATTTCAGCAGCACTTGATTGACTACTTGAAGCAAAATCCTCAGTTTATCAAACCAAACCACCGGTATAAGTTTATTCTCAATGAATTGATGAGTGCCAAATTACCCGATCTCTCGGTTTCGCGTCCTTCTTTGCGATTAAAATGGGGGATTGATGTCCCCAATGATCAATCGCAAAAGATTTACGTTTGGTTTGATGCGTTGCTAAATTACCTCACTGCTACTGGGTTTCCAAGAGGTTTTGCAAAAGATGGAAGTCGATACGTCACTCTTGAGAACAGTCCATGGCCAGCAACTCACATTATAGGCAAGGATATCATTCGATTCCATTGCATTTACTGGCCCATATTCTTGATGGCAGCAAACATTGAGCCACCAAAACAAGTTGTGGTCCATTCGCATTGGCTATGTGAAGGGTTCAAAATGAGCAAGAGTTTAGGAAATGTTGTGGAACCGATAGAGTTGAGCGAGTATTATGGAGTTGATCCCGTTCGTTTTTTTCTTACGGAAAACTCCAACATAGACGATGATTGCAAGTTTAGCGAGGCTTTGCTACAAAGGAGCCGGGATGCACTTGTTGGAAAATACTGCAACTTGTTGTCCAGAATTGGTGGGAAACTGTTTGACATTGCACAATCAGTGAGGCAAGCAAAGAATGGCGAATTTAAGAATATTGAAGATTTGATCAGCCGTGCTTGTTTGAAGAAGGGAAATGTGGGTACTATATTGAAATTGTCAACGGAGCTAAAAGAGAGTTTAGACAATGTTTATCGCGAAATGGATGAGAAATTCACAAACTTTGACTACATCAGAGCAATACAGCTCTGGTGGGGAGTGATTAATCAAGCTAACCAAATGTTTCAAGTGGCGGAACCGTGGTTATACGTAACAGCCATCAAAGATTCGCAAATCAATGAAGAGACAGCAACCCAATACCAACTATTGGTCAACTACTTTGTTTACCTCTGTGCTGAAGCAATGCGTATTCTGTCCATTTTGATCCAACCGGTGATGCCCGTCTTGTCGAACCAAGTGTTGACGAGATTGGATGTGGCCTTGGAGAAGCGGAGCAGTGACTTTACCAAGGTAGGTGCTGATTTGGATTACGGAAAAGATTCTAATTCAAGCCTGCACAAACCACCTTTGCAGAAAGTCAAGTCAAGAGTATGACCGGAGGGTGGATAAGGGGCTGAGTGGACGTGAGAGATTTGTGCTTCAAATGGGATGCTTCCTAATATTTAGTGTACTTGTAAATAGACGGTGCAATAATGTATAAACCTATTCATTAGTTCGAAAGGTGATTACAGTATAAAAACCTCTTTAAAAAAAGAAAATTTTTTAGCCACTTCACTTCACAATCCTTCTTTCTTGGACTCACACTGCAAATTTTTATACAGGCTACTCACTTACTGTCATAATACACCTCCAAGAGGCTCAAGCTACTTACAATGGTGCCTGCTTCCTTCAAAGGTTGACGCTGGCGATGTGTGTGGATATGGAATTCCACATAATCAAGATGTCTCAACCTAATATGGATTACCCTTGAGAAGAGCACACCATCATCAAGAGCAGTGGCAATCAGCTCCC